ATAATTGGCGATTTGCCCATGAAAACCCCAAAAGTAACAAAAAAGAAAGTTTATCAAAATGGCCCAAACGATTTTGATTTAAAAGAATTTAAAAGGCTATAATATTTTTTATAGCCTTTTAAATTGTGGACAAAATTGTCGAACTCCAATTGCTGTAAAATTACGCCTTAACAGTTTGTAACTTGTGTTATTTTTCCATAAAGAACATTCGGATAAAAAACCCTGCTTTGATTTAAGTTAGTATGTTATGGTCCTCATAATTCTATACAAAATAGTGCAGGCCCCCATTGCTATAAAAACTACGATTCAAAATCTACTGCATATATTTCCCATATAAAATATCATGATTACTCCTACCTCTTACCCATAATAAAGGTTGTTGACAAGATATATAAGTATGTGCCGGATTTATTTTAATTACTACAATCCTCAACTCTAGACCTTAATAACAAAAAGGACACTGTTACCATCAAACCTTCCATGGGCCTACCCCGTTTAGGGTTGGACCTTTTGACTGACTAGGGTATCGATAAGTAGACATCACATTCCTCAATTAAAAAAATTAAAACAGACAGTAAAGTTGAGACTCCAAGAATATGGTGCTATCAATTTATGCCATACATTGAGTTTTAACCAAGTCAAACGGAAACTCAGTTGCATGATTTTAGCCTCACCAATTATAAAGTTATCAAAAGACTAGGAGAAAAAAAATAAACTGTAACAACTATGATCTATTAGAATAAAAAATAGATACAATAGTTCAATAAATTTAAAATTTCAATCTAAAAGTCAATAGTTTTACACAGCTATAGGGATCCTAAAAGAATCTCCACGATAACAGTCAATAACATAATAGGTTACATAAAATAGAGGATGTTATATATGCTGAGTTGGTTACTCCTTTTAATCTATGGTTTAATTTATACTGGTTTTAAAGCTGTTAGGAAATGTTAATATTAATGTTTATTAGAAATGCTTGATAATAATTAAACACATTAATTAATTTTTATGAGAGAATGAAAACAAGAGTTAGGAGTGTGTGTTGCCTTTTAAAGATGTTAGTTAAATGGTTCAAATAAAATTTTGTTATTGCATACTTTCACTGAGTACTCTAGTTTTTTGTCAGTTTCGTAACATTGTGGAATAGTCAAAATATCTTAACAGAAATCTGAAAAATGTTTAAATTGTGTTAGAAAGATATAAGGCCTTTGTAGCATGTGGTTAATGTCCATCTTTGTTAAATAGCATAGCTTTATTAACTACCTATGAATGATGTCTATGGATAAACTAACCCTTCGTACCCCTTTAGTATTGAGCCCTTGATACTGTACTTTGTAAACACTGAAATAATTGTGTTTAATAAATACCACCACCCCAGCAAACATGCGGTCTAAGCGAATTTAAATTTGTCTTATAAGATTTTTACTTCAATATTTACACCGAAAAAACATACATATATAATTTAATCCCCAGTTAAATAACATTAGATGTAGGCCTAAAGTGTTTTTTTTTTATAACAAGAAATAAATAAATTTGTCAAAATAATCTGATCAACATCCTTTCATTGTAGGGGCTACACAACAACGCTTCAGTAGCCAAACTAATAAAATACATTTTTTTAGCTCTACATACCTGTTTGGCATTTAAGATAGCCTACATGTTTTGAGGGCAAAAGATGAAAAAACTATTTTTGGACATTTTAAAACCCATAACACTCTATTCCTATGAGTCGATCTTGCTGGTTTGCGAACTCATATAAATTTCTACGGTTTTCAAGCCAAATTTCATCAAAATCGGACTAAAATTAACTCGAGTTATCATGCTCGTTGGCACACACACGTACATACACAATACACACACATAATATAAAATTTGAAGAAATAGTGTTTTTTGCCTCTGGCGACATCCAAGTGAAAAAGGATATCGGTCCTGGGTTTAGGGCTTACCATGCCACTTACGGTAAAAAGGCTACTTCCCTATAGCAGAATTTTCTAATAAAACAATAGGCTAATAATATATACAGTATACCATTGGACGTTTTAACGTGTCAATTTATAAGATTTCCTAAACATTGTTTTTTACACCACAACTTAAGATAGGCCTATAGACATCACAAAATATTGTTGTCACAACTAACTAAACACTAGTTAGCATTAAAATCCATTTTTAGCCCCTGAGCTGTGATATTAATTAAAAATAGGTATTTACCTTCGTCTACAGCTCAATCTTTTGTAACTTGAGTTACGGCCGTTTCGGCATTATAATGCCATCGTCAGACGTTGAACATTCAGCTGAAGTAGCGTCGTCATAGTTGAAACACATATCACGAACACGAATAACATTTTACAATTACTAACGAAAACACAACGAACAGGCCTGTCGCACACAGGGTTCCGGTTGACATTGCCACGATCTGAACTGGATGCTGACCCAAACGAAGGTAAATACCTATTTTTAACTAGTTAGCAACCAAAAAATTGAATAATGGTCAACTTCTAAAATCATTAGCCTAGTGATGAAGTAGTATATTATTAAGACAATAAGACATTTTATTGACCGTTAAGTAAATACAAAATACAATAGGTCTTGTCAATTTTAAAAATAGGCCTAATAAGTTAGCTACATAAAATAAGAAATTAAGAAATTATGGCGAGTCAGGTACAGTGTGGTATTGGCTTAAGGACTATTAAACAAACATGAATCATAAATAATTTAAAGACAAAACAATTAATAAACATTTCAGAACAAAATAACAAAACAAGCCTAAACTATCACAATTTCTCGCTCAAAGTATTCATCCACCGAGTACATGGGATTTTCCTGTAGCCATTTGTAAAATTTAGTTAGAAACATTTTATCAGACTCTAAATTGACTAGGCAAGTTGGTAATTTATTGTATAATATCACAGCCAAATAATCATGATATTTTTGTGCCTTACCTAACCTACATCTAGTAATATCTATTTTGTCCCTAAATCTAGTATTATATTCATGAACATCACATCTTAATCTAAAATTATCAATATTTTTTCTTAAATTTCTAATGACTTCGAATATATACAGATTTATCACAGTTAAAATACCAGTTTGTAAAAACAAAGGTCTGCAGTGTTCTGACTTTGATTCATTTGCCAATATTCTAATAATTCTTTTCTGCCTAATTAAAACTAAATTAGGAATTAACTAAATTAGGAAATTAAATGTTATTAGGATTAACATTGCCGGGTTAATTTTTACACTTGATAATTTGTAATAAAACCAATTACATTAATTTATTATGGCTATTTTAAGAACCTGAATGGCAAATATCTCCAATTGAAGTAAAACTGCATACTAAGCTAATTTCTAGTTACTTTTTCAGACTTTTTCCCAATCCCTTTTAAAAATATAGGTCTAGATATGGTTACACTTGAACCTTATCTAATATAAATAAAATTAGATTCAATTTGTACTTGGTTTAACTACAGATCAAGAAAATCATAAATATTTGTTTAGTAGGCCTAACCTAAATTTAAAATTCAAAAATGGTTCTAACATTAATAAAAAAATACATTTACATTCTAGCTGTTGTATACCTGTCTAATTAATCTTGCAAATCTTTTTATTCTGAGTGGATAAAACATTTTACTCAAAGCTTTAGTGTATGAGCGAAGATCCTATAACTCCATCTACCCAAAACTCCAATGATAACATAGGGATAACGCTGTCAATATATCAGTAGGTTAACAATACCTGCCTGTACAGTAGAACCTCTTTAATCTGAACCCCTGTAATCCGAACGTCCACTAATCCGAATGCCTCATTGCTGTACTCTATACACAGTACAGTAGTTCTTTATTGTATACTGTATTTATTGATATACGCACCGTAATTATTTCAATTGTAATGTACAGTAACAGTATACTGTTTTTTCCCTATGTTTACTACTGTATTAAATAAACACTGTATTTAAAAAGCATTTTTCACTTTTCCCTAGCTATTGTTATGTAAAAACAACAATAGGCCTATGTTCTGTAATCCAAACTATTCAATAGTCCGAACTACCCCCGGTCCCAATTAGTTCGGATTAAAGAGGTTCTACTGTATATTCGTTTGTATGAATTGTAAAAGATTTTAAATTCAATGCTATAAATCAGATTTTTGTTTTGATTTTTTTTGGGACAACAACGATCAAGATGATTATTAAGACAAGCATTTATTGAATTTAAACATTCATCAGGGCAAGTAACTCCTTCTAGACAGCTCCAGCTTTCTCATTCTATCTCCTTGCTGAGCAAGATAAGGTTTTCAGGGCATGTGTTTCTCTTTGAGTTGACATTTTGTGGTAGGTGGCAGGGTGCAGAGCCCGCGATAGTAGCGACCTGAGCGCAATGATCCGACACGGCAGTGGAGACGACAATAGCTGATTTCCAAATGGGAAATCCGCTAAATGCACTACGGTTTATGTCCAAGTAATATAGTCGTAACTTAGGCCCATTCTCAACCAAAATTAATAGGGAAGCAGCAGTGACAATTATTCTAAAGAAAAGGTGTTTTCCATCACTCTACTTGGAGGGCAAGGCTGGCGTGTCCTAGGATAGTTTTATGTTGCTGAAATGCTGACTAAGTATGAAACGGATAAACGTATACCTTGGATGTTGCAATAAAGGATTTATAGTAATTCATTCAAACATTTTCAATTATCAATTATTTAAGACGGGGACGCCACTATTTGCGCATTTTAACCCAAATGTGAGTGAAGAATGAGTGGAACATTGTCACACATCCAGTACATAGTCAATTTTGTTTGGGTAGCGGAGTGCTCATCTATGTATCTAAGGTCGCTGGTTCGATTCCGAGCAAGATCGCTTCCAAACCTAGATCTCTTTTGGTATTGGGCTATAAATGAATGGTTTAACAAAGATAAACATTAGATAGGTAGTTAAGAGACCAGGGTTTAGACTGTTGCTTAAGACATGGCCTAGATATAAATAAAATAAAAGAATAACATGGCATCCTACCTTGTCCACTGACTGATGCTGGTGGCACTGCCTCCATCCTCAGATATTGCTCCGGCACCTCACCCACTGATTCCGTCACCGACACTTTGCTTGACTTTTTATCATAACAAACTTCCGTTTCCACATCACTCGCACGACTTAGGTCCATTCTACGAGGCAACCCCGGTTTATGAGGCAAGGCGAATTCAATTTCCGGGTCAAAACTGTTGCTGTTATCGGCCTCCAACACCCGAGGATCGATGTCGGCTGCGCCCAAGTCAAACCGAGGGGGCGGCAGACCTAACAGTCTGTCTAGCTCTGTTATTTCGATAAACGCACGATCATCTTCTTCTGAGTCCATCACTGACTCTGTCAGACTTCCTCCGGAGCTCATGCCAGTATCCATTGTGAGAATTTACCTGTTGAACAAAAATTATATTAGAAAAACATCAACATGGCAAGGGGGTTAGAACATGGTTCTTTGACTGTTGTGAGTTTAACAGAGGAAAGGTAAAAAAATTACAAAATGTTTATGTTTTATAATATCTTGATACTGGTTTGTGTGGGTACTGTATCTTGAAAGTTTTTTTTTGAAAAATTTTTTATAAAAGAACACCTTGATTGGTGAAATTGCGCTATAACTATCACTTTCTGTTTTAGCGATTTTCCCTGTAGTTGGCACGGTAAAACCTATAACCTGACCAATTTTCTTTTTCACTTTGATGTCTTCAGAGGCCAATAACACTTCGTTTGAATTTACTTGTGTATGTGTCTGTGAACGTGATAACTCACATATTTTGGTCAGATTTTTATAAAATTTAGCTTGAAAGTAAAGAGCAGGATAAACTTGAATGAGTTCGCGAACCAGCAAGATAATGATTCATAAGAATGGGGTATTTTTGAGGTTGGGGTATTTTTGAGGTTTTGAAATTTTTGAATTTGGGGTTTTCAAATGTTAAAGGCTTACCCTTGAAAACAAGAAAATTCCTAATTTTCATCAGGACCATATTGTAGAGCTTAAAAATAAAAACAATGTTGTACAAAGGTGTCAGGGAAAGTTAAAAAGACTGAATGTTAAAAATTCACAAGTTATTCTTGTGGAGGAAAAAAAACTACACACTGTTTGCTTGTTTATGGATTTTATATTGATCAAATTTTGTAGTAAATTTATTTCTTTTGTCTTGTACAGCTACTATTTGGTCAAAATAACACTGTTAAGCCTCCTCGTAGCAGCAAGCCTAAGTACTCGTTACATATAATCTATATATTAAATAATATTAGTTTTTCTTTCCGAGTCAGTTTGGTTCTTCTACCGGACCGATTTTCATAAAAATTGTGGTCTTAAATTAAAGATATTCACCCACAGATTTGCCTTAAAGCATCACCATTCATTTATCTACTGTATTACTTTACTAATACATAAATTTGATTTTGTTTTTAATTCTTACTTCAATTAAAGATATATTTCACCAGTTCTAATTACATCATCCTATTTTTTTTATCTAAGAACCTTCAATGTAATACTAGATTTCATTTGAGCTATTGATTATTTAGATTGGACATACCTGAAGCACGCTGCTCAATCACAAATCGACAATAATTATAATTATTTTAGGACTCAATGAACAAATCGACAATAATTATAATTATTTTAGGACTCAATGATACGTGAAACTCCATTTTTATATTAGTTATTTTATATGTCTTGGCCTTAAAACTCCTAGAAATAAAGGCTTTCATTAGAGATATTGATTGTTTGAATCAGTTAAGTTCAAGATACTGTACTCAATCAAAAAAGGTAAATTTGTTTATTTCTCGGATATAGAATTAATTTTATTATAGTAGATATATTTACTCAATTCCAATTAACCTATACGTTTTGATCTGAGAACCTTCAGTGAAATACCAGCTTTCATTTGAGTTGGGCCTATTGATTATTATATAAGATAGTGACGTACTTAAAACACGCTGAACAACCCTAAACGTTCAAAAAATGGAGTAGGCCTACTGTTATAATCGATTGTTAGTTAAAATATGATTTTGCTTGAAACCTCAACAGTAACCGTCAATATCAACGGGTTTCACCTAGTAGAGAAATATAAAAAAAACTTGTTTTTCAAATCCTCATATATTCTTCCCGAGAGAAAGTAAACCTTTATAGATTGCTCGACTTTTGAATATATTAGGCCTATTTTGATCAATCTGAGCAAAATTATTAGCCTATTTTATAACATTTACTGATACTATTACAATTTTATAAACAAACCCGTTTTCTATCTCTGTGGCAGCATACTTTTAGTAATCATTAAACCTATAAATAAATAAATCTGACAAATTTTAGAAAGTATTTTAGTGAAAATCCGATTGAACAATGAAAATTTGCTTCTGGAGGTTTCCTGGGCAGTGGTATTTAATTTTATTTTTTACTCCTACAATTAATTAATAATTGATAGGGTCATTATCACCAGTGGGTTTTAATGCAAAATAATGGTAGTTAAATAAGCTAATGAATTTTACTTTTCTTTAAGTTTTTGAACAAATATCAAGACATTTAGTTTGGCAAGTTTAAACAAAATATTTTACAGCAGAACATCCCAATGCCTTCAAATTATTGTCCGGCTAAAAGTTGAATGGAAAGGCAATCTCTAATTTAAAATGGTATTAGTGTATTTACAACCAAAGGTTAACTAATAATGAACTAGATATCTGTTTATATTAATAACATATACAGAAGTACTGTAGGGAGTGTTTTAATACTGCAGGTGAAGGTGTATACAAAGTATGAGTAAATACTTTAATAGTTAATAAGAGCTGATAAAATTATACGGGTAGTTGTGAATCCTGCATATGCGTGTGTTACATTATACAATAGTCAAAGATTATACCTTTTTTGAGTATACTTTAAAATGTCTTCTGTAAAATCAAGTGATGAATTGATTGGTTTGATATTTTGATGGTTTTATATTTTCAGCGAATTACCCAATAGGGAAATAGCTGTTACCGTAGGTGGTGGTAAGACTATAGTAATACCAGAAACAAAAGAACCCTGGGCCGTTTCGAGCCGCGCAGGTTTGAATGGTACGCCACACCTACCTGCGCGAACCACGTGATCTTTTCGTTTCTGCGCAGGTTGTTTTGTTCTTGGGATATCTATAGACCCGGGACTGATTTACTTTCTCAGTTTGATGTCCCCAGAGGCCAAAAATATATTTGTTCAAATTGTTATACATACACATCCGTGAACGTGATAACTGGAGTAATTTAGGTATGATTTTAAAGAATCTGACTTGAAGGTGTAGGGCTGGATAAACTTGAATGAGTTGGGGAACTATAGACATACCAGAAACAAAAGAACCCTGGGCCTTTCGAGCTGCGCAGGTTTGAATGGTACGCCACACCTACCGGCGCGAACCACGTGATCTTTTCGTTTCTGCGCAGGTTGTTTTGTTCTTGGGATGTCTATAGCAAGATCAAGGTCATGGGAGTATTGTAGGGAATCCAAATTTTCAAAAATTAGTATTTTCAAATGTGTATCTATAGATGAAAATGTCAAATTTTCATTACAACCATTTGTAGAGCTAAAAAAATTAAATATATTGAGGCGTCGTTTTAAAACTAAATGTTACGGAGAAAATTCCCAGGAACTGTATATTTAATATTCCAATGGTATTCTTATTAAGAAGAAGAAAACTGTTGTCGTTCGCTTGTCTGTGGATGTATGTTGATCAAATTAATTAATTTAACCCTATATTAGGTGAAAAAACATGTTTTAGCTTTCACCCCCCCCCCCCCATAGCAGCATACCGAAGTACTCATTAAATATAATGTTATTTAAATGGGGGATAAGTAGGCCATGTCTTATTAAGTAAAAAATCAAATTAGACAAACTAAAATTCGCTTAGTCTGCAGGTTTGCTTCGGCAGGGTTTTAAATTTTAATAATTGAAAGTTTAACAGCCTTAACATTGAATCAACTTCCCTTCTTTCCAGCAGGATACTGAAAGTAGAAATGTTATTCTTTTGTAAAATACAATGTTTGGTTTTAAGCGTGCTTCATATAGGTCTATCTGGCGGTGTAGTGATGTTAACTAAGAGTACACCAATAAGTAACCAATAACTTTCATCATGTGAGGATTAGTTAACAAATGAGTTTTTGTTTGGCAATGGTAATTGTAAAGATGAAAACATAACCTAAACAAGGAGAAGATATAAAATCACTCAAACCTTATTTAACATCATTGACAATTTAATGGTCAACTGCCCTTTGTTTAAGTTAACTTTTGAATTTTAAAATAAATATAGTAACTAATACATAGTTAAAATCGCATTCATATCGTATTCATACACTTTACAATTGTCTTTTCATTGTTCATAAGCACCATTTGTATATCGCACCAAAAACTCAACCAGATTTTACTACTTGACTGTATTTAAAGAAATAGCCTTAAAAAACCTAAAAAGAATTTGGTTCCTTAAATCAACGGCGGATGTGTAACTATTTTATATTGCAATTTTTTTGTAATTTATACCTTTCGCTCCCTTACCCTGTAGCGAAAGTCACAAGTATAGCAAAAGCTATAATCATTTTAAAATTATAAGTGAACACTGCACAAAGGCAAGGTATTCCACAAGCATGTCCCAGGTCTAAGGGTCTTTCCCTATACAAGAAATTTGCAAAAGAGATAATATATGGCATAGATTTATAGACTTTATACAATTAACCATTGAATATTGCTCTATTAACAAATACGTATTAAAAATATAGATATTCTCATATATGTTAGAATTAATGCAAATTCAAACTGAAATAAAGGGAGCACATATTGTGAGAGGAGAATGTATTGAAGAAATCTGGGAGGGTGGTGGGTGGAGTTTAAATCAGAAGAACCATTTGCGCTAAACAGTAGAGGCTTAGCTAGAAAACATCCAACCAAGATACGATCCTAAATAATCCTCTGATTAAATTGGACCTTAAACTTTCATTATTTATACACATCACCTTATCAGCATGCATTAAAATAATTTTAAACATGCTTTGGACCAGATACATATTCCATTTGATGAACAGCATGACCTGCAATAATGTTGAATTTGTTATGTACTTTTTACTTCATGTTGTTAGCCTCCGGATCACTGGTATAGTAATAAATAATAGTTTAAATACCTTATACTGTCAAAGTGATCCTTGTTAGGATAAGCCTATATAGACTACCAAGGATCACTTTGACAAATTAAGGTACCAAACCATTATTTTTATTATTTTTTTTAGTTATTACTTTTCACATCGCATTAATGTTTGATTTGAGTTATTGGAGGAGTATGCTGAATAGGCCTACTGATAATGTATTAAATGGGTAGAATCTATAATAATTATAGATTTTACCCATTTGATACAGTATAAGTACAATAATATTTGTCTGATAGGGTTTTTACTAAAATTATTCAATAAATAAGTCATATTTATTCCCCATTTAATTAAATTTTGATTAGTTGAGAGCCTAGTGTTCTGCTACAGGGAAGGGATTCAATGTTAATACTGTATGCAGTAGCCTATAGGATGTAATAAATAATTTACCAAATTTGATCGCATTATATCAATCAACAGGCAAAATTCTGTAATTTTCATTCTCTCCTTAGGAATAATATCAAAATCTAAAAATGCAGGCCTACAACATTGCTTCAATAACTTAGCCTATACAAAATTGATTAATTTTTAAAGATCTGCATTATAGCTGTAATAAAAATTGGACATTTCAATGATTTAAGGATACAAATTGGAAAAATCTATTTTTTTTAATATATGTTAAAAAACTATTTTTTAACACCCCATTCCTATAAGCCAATCTTGCTTGTTTGTCAAATTTCATCAAAATCGATTCAAAATTAGGCTACTTAAGTTATCGTTTACACAGTCACAGACACAAACATTTTGAACTAATAATGTTTTTGGCCTCTGTGGACATCAAAATGAAATACAGTACAATAGAACCTCTCTTAACGAATAGACGGATATATATAAATCCTAATATAAACTTGTACAGTAGGTTAATAAAAAGTTTTGGAAGAAATTAAACCCTGTAGGCCTACAAGTGAATAATACATATTTTTATATTTAAACTACTTACATACAAGAGTAATACAGAACTGCTATTTTTTATGTTGACTTGTTCAATGTTCGTAACATCACATAATCACTGTAGTGGGGTGGGATAACAGAAAGTTAGGGTTAAAAGGGTGACAACCCCCCCCCCCCCCCCTCTTGTGGGGTTTATCAAGGTTCTACTGCAGTAAAACTGTTCTGTAAAATTAGCTAAAATATGATATCAGCTATAAATTCTTTAATATCACTGAAAATATCTTTTACATACGCTTGTTCCAAAAACACAACATGTAGTAAAATTTTTATCAGTTAAGTAGATTGAAATTATAAAAATACTGTATTACAATATCCGTGTACAGTAATGACAAGTTTACACTATTATCACTAATGCAAAGGCAAATAAAAACTATTATTAGGAGAAAATAGTTTAAACTCAACTTTAATAAAAAGAGCAATAATTTTTAATAACTAATAATGAAAATAATTGTTTGGTGACAACTTAATGTATTCCTGAAGTTGCCAAACAAAACCCTGCGTCACTATTTCTTTACAAAATTTTAAATGACAATACGACAAAATTAATTAATAATAAAGTTTTGAACACATACATAGCTCCCAGTTTTTGAGCTAGCTTAAAATTATTAGTGTATTTTAAGTCACTTCATAAATAACAAAATTATCTAAGAAGCATAAATTATTCTCAATAATATTAAAGTAGCCCTATAAGACCTCTTACAATAAAACTAGCTTTTTCACATACTTGAACCAAGGAAACAATAATTCCTAAAATTGTGAATTATAAAATTACAATAAGTTGAGTGAAACAATTTGTCTTACCTAAAACTGAATAGAATGTAGTAGAATCATCCATACATGCATACTTATATCTGAAACAAAAATAAGTCCATTAGCTAAATTTTAACGATTAACGGACACAAATACAGGTTATTAATTTAGCCAAGATGTGTAGAAATTGAACATATCCTGAAAAAAATAAACAGTGATGCAGGGCAGTGGCAGTCATGTGATTGTATACGTTTGTTGCAGTCTGTATAAGGAAATTATTCATAATCAATAAAATATAAAATTAATAGTTTGTACTAAGTTTAGATCGATCAGGATATATACATAATACGCAAACTATTGAGATTTAGGTTTAATTGGAATGAAAAATAACTATAAATAAAACAAAATTGATTAACCTTGGTTAGTTCAGTTTCGTTGTGAAACACAATCCTATCTACCGTTATATAAGAAAATGCAATTTACAATCGCACTGTAAAATATGCGAACACATACTATATACATAAGCCTAAATAAATATAAACAAGTTAGATTTGAAATTAAGTTGACCTAGTATTCGAATCGCACTCCAGCAAAAAAGATCGAGAGATAGGCCAAAATAAACCGAATGTCACGGTCACGAACGATTATGTTGAAGATGAACTAAATTATAACTCAGGACAAACAAGAGTCAAGTCGTAAACATAAAAACACCCTTGCATAGACAAACGTAACGACAGAGATAACCTAACTAAACCTACAAGTGGATGATGTAGCGCTGTACGCAACACGAGCCAGAATATAACCTTGAACAGTAATCGCCGACAGCTACGCTGTGCCTCAACACAACACGTGAACACGCGTGGTCAACACGGCAACTAACTACAAACTACAACACGAACATGGCGACACGAAACTATATCAGCTGACGAACAAAACTGAAAACTGAACGCGACAGTACAGTGGCTCGCTTGACTAAGCGCTCGGCCGAGAAAATGGCGGCGAGTGAAGACTAGCTGTCGTCATCGCTAGGTGGGTAGGACAGCACTGAGTATACAACGTAGAATCAGCAGCCCCTAGAATTGATAGAAGCTCGGGGGAAAAGAGGAGAAAATATTGTGTAGACGGAAAACGACTGACGAAAACAACAACTATTATGTTAAGGAAAACTATAAAAATAGATTTCATACTAAATAACAATAAAAAACTAGAATGGTACCTATATTACGATTTACCTAAAACAATATACGCTACAACACGGAATAATATATAAATCATATAATTAAAATAAAACATTTCTAATAAAACTTCCATACAACTGTACAAAAGAAAACACATTTTTACCAATAAAACAATATCTGAAACTAATATACCACTGAAACTTTAATTAAAACGTACCTCTAATACCGATACATAAAACTAAAACAAAAACGAACCCGTTCTAATAAAAAATACTACTGTAAAACGACAAAAATGCCAACGAAATAAAACTGAACAGAGATTGTAAGCGAGACTAGGTTGCTGTTAGTCCATTTCTTATCAATAGGGGACAAGTGTTGCCAACGCGAGTGAGGAAATTTCCCTGCCGAGACTGTCGGGACCACGTAGGCATATCCTACCCGTGGAATCTCAAATACGAAGTTGACACCTAGGAGGAGGTTGACACACACGTACAGTATAGGAATTACTGGAAACAATGTGAAATCCCTTTAATGATAATTGGAAGCGATAAATATAAATTGCTATTGTATTTTGTGAACCATCTTTACAGTCGGAATATTATCAATAAGTATACAGTACGAAGATAATCCGTTATATAGTCAATTCCAATTATTTAAAACTTATTATTTAACTCATTTTGAATTAAAATTACGTTTTTGCTTCAGACTTGTTCTATTTATGTAAGAAAATTAATGATACTAAAAATTATAGCCTACATAAAAAAATTAATTGTAACTCGTAATAGCATGTAACCATCGTAAAGCTGAAATTTGTAGCTACACGACAATACACAAAAACAACTAAAATAATAAAAACACAGTATACGTTTTAAAATCCACTGTTAATATCGTCGAAATACTTTAGTGTAGTTGTAAAACACATTGAAATGCTGTATTTGAACCATTATTAACAGAAACATATTAAAACACAGCTGTACAAATTTAAGGAGGCTATTTAGGATTACACTCACAGGAAGTCAACAAGGTATTTAATAAACATTCAGTTTAATTCTCATTGGTTTAAACACGTAAGCAACGACTTATCTGCAAGCAAGAATGTAAGGCCACGTCAACAGACCACCGCCCATCTGACTGAGCCATTCTGTGATAGCACAAGAAAATTACGCTCAGTACAGTCGTGACTTTAGTAGACATTTAGTAGACTCGACTCTCAAAAAATATAAACTGAATCTCATGTGAATATACAATGCAAATTTCTTAAGAACAAAATGTAATGTACATGTAAAAGACTTCAAAATCTACATTGAAATAATCTGAAACACTTAAATTGATCCTTTACTGAATTATAACATCCCTATTAATAATTTGATAAAACCGATCAAGTAAATAATAATAAAAAAAACATTATAAATTATTGATAAGGTATGATTTTATGTGGTATAATCAAGTATTACATATAAATAATATATTTTGGGGGTAGTCTGGTTAGATTTGGTCTAAGAAATAGAATTCGAAGATTTTATCACAATCAATTAAAATGCTTTAGATACTCTAATTGTCAAATATACCTTAGACTAATAATATTATGGTATAATTAACTCAATAGGAAATCCAAATCTTCTTAAGCTTTGCAAACAAACTGCTTAAAGGGATTAAAAACGAATAATTATTTTAATTAAATTTTGGTCTAAAATATTAGGTCAATCATACAATGGATTAAAAATTATACATAATACTACTCTATTTGATTTTTTCCCTTATGTATCAACTGGAGGCAGTTTTCAGGTACGTTTTTGTTGGGCGTCAATATCTATTAGGCATCTTTGCATGCATTTTTTCTCTTATGATTTCACTAGCTTGAAAACTATTTACTAAACTACTTGTTGTCTCATTTGTTATTAAATATTAAAACGTAGAAATGTAACTGTTCGCAAAACACCCATCGAAATAGGCTATTTATCAATACAGTGAAAAGTTTTCATTTGCAGTATGTCAAAGATACTAACCTTTATAGCAAAATTTACAGAGACGAATTTTCAGAAAAATTCATAATTTTATTTTATGCCACTTTTAAACTAATTGTTTACAATTCATCTACATATCTGCTAGCAGCTGTTTGTAAAACATCGTTTAATTGGATGGTCGCCATGCTTAACGAATACTAAATTAGTAATCAGAGTTAATATTTAAACTACCAATTAATTAAAGTAATGTTGCAGCCATCACGCACACTGGAAACTCTGCTCTCATGCGAATCCTTGTTCAGTATTTTTGTTTGTGGACATGAATTTGTATTTTACTGAAAATTGAAGCATTGAGAGTCCTTGGAGGCTAGCGGCCATCGTGGATAATAACAGTTGCTGAAGAGTTATATTTATCATCAAAAAATTCTTTTAACGCCAAAGTGATTGTAATTTAAATATCTAGGACACTGTGGAATTAGAAATGTTCTTTGTAGTTTCTTCATTGTTTTACAAGCTAAAACGTCTGGGCTCTAAGGACTCAATGAAAATTTTCAACTGCTTTCAATTTATTCCTGTTAAAATACTATTCTTAATCAATATGGGTGAAAATTAGTATCAATGAAAACCACACAAAGGAAGCTATAGCTCGGAATTGTTGGATTTTAATAGTTTGTATGAGTGTGTTTTTGTTAACACTGTTAGTTTACATAGCTAAGTGACATTGTTAAGGTACAAGGGTAAATTTAGGAAAACTATAAACTGTAATATTATATTACCGAAGGTACAGTAGTATGATTATTTGCTAAAAGACAATCTTCTATAGGTATACTTATAAAAGGCAAATACTGTACCACCCACTCACTGATCACTATATCTAAAAAAAACTACGAGCTATAAAAACTCAGGAATTGGAATGGATGTTCAAATTAAGCTCTAGGCGTGCAATAAGAAGCGTTTTCAAGAAATTCCATCAGGGCTCTGCCCCAGTGGCCTTTAAAATTCCCATGTTTTATGGGAAAAGATTTGTTTACGTTTGACAGATTAATAGTTTTGAATCTACAATATTATTTAAGAAAACAGCTTGTTAATCAGTTGAAATAAAAATAATTGCATAATTTTTTTGGCTAACTATTGTTGTTTAACTGCATAACACTGTTTGTAATTAATTGTTAAATGAATTTAAAAATCAAGATGTATAACCCCATTTGTTGTTTTTAAGATAGATACAGTAAATTATTAAATGTTTTAAGAATATTATTGTCTAAGGACATATTGTTGGCTATCGAATTACATCTATTGTTTTAAGGGATGTCACTCGCCTTCTCCTATTTTATGATTACTTATAAGGGGTTCTCAAGAGAGAAGATAAGAAGTTCTTGTCAAGTTCAATCCCATCCATCCCTACATATGGGTTGATGACGTTGCCACGATCATGCAATTGCAGATGAGTATGTTACCGTAAAATCAGAGTTCACGTATTTTGCAGACAGACAGAAAATCTTTATTCGAAATCTTAAAAACAAATCTTAGTCTGATACTTTAAGTATTGAGCGGTTGAAGTAAATTACAAACTTTAAAGCATTGTTTACTTATTCAACAGCATTGCTTCACTTAACAACACGGTAACGGACCAATGAGGTTCAAGGATTGAGATAAAAGAAGTAAAACTGTAATGCTTCGAACTTCAACTAATCAGCTGTTTATACAATTTAATTGTTGAGTGGTGCAATTAGTGTTTGGTACAATGATTAGTTGCATCACTGTCAGTGGCAATGAGAGGTTATAAACGAAAACACAAGTTATGAGTAGGTAGTGATTGTTAATGAAAAAACTCTCGTAAGTAAAGTAGTGTATGCCACTTGCGTAGTGTTGGGGAAAACTACTATTTTTAATTATTTATTATCAGATACAAATCCATCTTTCAATTTAAATTTTCATGAGCAAAGCCACGACAAGTTGTGCTAGTGATGTATATTTGATCAATCCCAACAGTTGCAGTTTAATAACACACGTGCTCACTAAATACCAGCAAAATGACGTCACATGTAGCACAGTCAGCTGATTTTTACAATCAATCAAAACATAGAGTAGGTTATAAAATAATTGTATTTCAAGCAAAGGTACAGTGGACAATTGAATACTGTTTATACGGGATTGTCAACCAGAAAATAACGACTATATTATTGTGTTTAAATGAACACGTAATATACATATACATACACGCAGACATTTTGTTTTCGTTTATCAAAAAAGTATTGTTTTTGTGTAAATAATGTGTTAAATTGTATATTCTATTTTATATTTATAATTATGTATGCAGGTTAAGTGGAAGAAAGGGCCATGTGGCCCTAACTTTGCCTGTTGAAATAAAGGATTTTCATTTCATTTCATTTTATTTACACGCACTAACTGATTAAACACTATATGCATTATTTCGTCAGTTAACGTTAAAAATTGCAACGAATAAAATCTCGAATATCTTCGTACAGTGGTAAGTCATATGACTATTCAATGGAATAATAGAATAGTCGTTTAGTCGTTTGTTGAATTGCCTTTAGATTTAGACAGTGGACTGAATCTTAAGGCAACTCTAATTATTAAAATACAGGTCTAAGAAAATAGAACGAAGCCAGTCAATGCTCTAACCTTAACTTTATTGACTATAAGATAAGCTCATGATGAAAACAAATTCTCCTCAAAACTGACATGTTCAACTTGTATATGATATAATATGACCAATGAAAGATTCACTTTTAAGATAATTTAAGGATCGCATATCCTTTTAACAAACACAAAGAACACACTATTTAATTAACTTTTGTTCATAAATAACCAAGCAATTTTAAAATGTGCTACGAAGACAGTTGAAAGAGCGATTATGTTATCTGTAAAGCACAAAGTTTTCCTATGAGTTTTTAATAGTTTCTTTACTCTTTTCAATCAACAGATCATTTCTCCAGCAAAAAGATACGTATAACTATAGGATAATATTTACGTTGTGTTTAAAATTAACCAGTAAGGAATGGATTTTATCGATCCCATGATGCTTTACAGCAACTAATTTTTAATTCAATACAGTTAACCTATAACGTTAATACTTAGTAAATTTTGCATATACCTAAAATATATTTGAGTTGTTTTACAATCGTATTAGGAATAGAGAATAGGAACAGAGGCCGCTGCAGTAGATACAGTTCAACTGAGAATCTATTTTGGGTATACATTTTAGGTTAACCGTTATGCCTAAAAATAAATCGGGGAAGTATGACTAAAACAGTAAATCATACCTTATACCAGATTCAATTAGCAAAAAACAATAACGAAAAAACTTGAACAACTAA